AAAAAAAAAAAGTGCAAAAGTGGAAGGCGTGCGGAAGAGGGGGCGAGTATATAACAAACTATATTTTGAGTGGAAATGTTGGGGGGTCGTCTTATACGCCGGGTCGTCTTATACGCCGGCATATACGGTACTTTGTCTTGCTTCTTTGTTTAAATAACTGGACTGGATTGAATTTAAAAATAAGAAGAAATTAAACCTTTTTTGCTTTTTTAGTTTAAATATTTGAAGTATTTTTTCTCTTGATTCTTTTTTTTTACTTTCATTGCTTAAGAGTATAGAGATACAGTGTAACTAAGGAACAACTATAAGAAAAGCTAAGCAATACTGCCATCTGGAGGGCACAGGGAAAATCTTTTTCTTAAAAATAACAGACTATAAAGCTTTTTTGACTACAGAGAAGGAGAAAGATAATAAGTCAGCATTGAAAACAGGTGTTGCCTCTAAATAGCTGGCATACAATTGGAAAGTTAATAAGATTAAGAGAAAGAAAAAACACTGACCTTGAATAAGATATATGCTTTTGACTCTGGCTTTCTGGACTGACTGAGATTTTGCCTTACTTAGTGACATGGATTTATAAATTACAGCTGTACCTTTCTTTTTTTTGTCTTTTTGTTTTTTTATTCTATTTTTGCTGGAGTACATATTGGATTTATTTTTCTCTCTCCTTTTTACTGGGCTTCTTTTATTTTTTGATCCAGTTCCTCAATATGGATAAATTTTGGATTGGTTTCTTTTTTTTCTCATCTCCTCCCTATATTTTTTTTCTTTTTCACTTCATTGATAGTTTGATTAGTAAGTGGACTAACAAGTGGATATAATTGGGTATTTTTGGACTTGATACTGCTTTTTTCTCTTGGCATTCCCTTTTTCTCTCCTCTTTTAGGTAGAAATGGGTGGATTTGTATTGTTATTTCCTTTTTTCCCTTTTTTGGGAAATTTCTTCTTTGGTCTCTTTCCTGGGCTTTTTGAATTTTATATATTTTTACTCCCATTTTTTAAATTGGATCTATAGTTTCCTTTTCTGCTATTGGATTCCATCAACTATCATTTTTTTTTCCTTTTTCTTCTTCTTTTTGTTCCTCTTTTTTATTGGATAAAATTGGATTAAGGTGGAGAAGAACTTGAAGATTGGTTTTATTTCCCTTTGGACTTTTGCGAATGGATTATAATTTGATCTGACATGAGTAAGGAAATACCTACTGGATCATCAATTCCTACTTCCTCATCCCTGAGCCCAGCTGGTCAACGATCTATTACAATGATGTTGCGGCAGGAGAAAGATAAAGAAAAGGAGATCTCTATGCAATAAATTAAATTAATGTTTCAAGTAATACAAAATCAAGGGAAATGTAGAGAGGATATAATGGAAAAGATGGAGGAAAGGATGGAGAAGATGGAAGGAGATATACAATAGGTATTAATGATATATGGAGAAAAAATACAGAAGATGGAAGAAAGAGGTGACAAAACAAATAAGAAAGTAGGAGAAATAGATAATAGATTGACAA